GCCAGCGGGGCTGGGGAGGGGATCGAGGGGGGGGCGCTTCCTTCGGCTTCGGGGGAGGTGGCTGGCAGCGGAGGGGGGAGGACGAAATGAAAATCAATGAGAGAAACCTAATAAGGAGAAAAAAAAAACGAAATGAAGAAGAGAATCGGAAAGAAAATGGAATGAGGGAACGGATTGACTGTGTGCCTGGCCCACTTGCCGGGCTTGAGTGAAAGTGAAGACTTTCCCCCTTCCGTTTACTGGATCTGTGACACTTTTCATCGTAAAATATTTATACACTTCCTTGCCGCATAAATATTTTTTCACTCTTTCGGAGATGCTCACACAGACACACATACCCATTATAAAAACACATACGCGCACCATATCTTCGTGAGCATCTCAAGATACTGACCCGGCATATCATGTTAAAAGTTAACAAAGTCATAATATAGTCGATGGGAATGTCTCCTCCCATCAAACGAATATCGCCGACGAAAGGACATTTCCCTCTCTAAGTGATTTTGAAGTAGATGACAACGCAATTTGTGGTCTAATCGTGTGCTTGAGCAACACAGGTATATTTGAAAGTGGCGCAAGACAGTTAGATACCCCTCTAAAAGGAAAAGAGCAAAGACAGTGTTTCGACAATTTCATTTCACCAAGACAACACCAACATTAGAACGAGCGCAGCAGTCAACACTACCGCAAAGAGCCACCCCCTCCCTGAGTCGAATCTTACTCCAAGACAATGACTTCAAGAGGGAGCGCGACATTGAGTGTCATCCTAAAAGACTTAAATCAAGGGTTTGCGTTGAAGCAAAATGGGAGGGGCAACAAAAATAGACCTCCATAATGCATTTAGGAAGGCAGCGACACCCAAGGGCGTCACAGTCACTAACATCGACCAAAGTCGAGCCAGACTTCAGCCGACAGCCTCACCATCCCACACCCAAGACCGACTGATCCACCTAAAGCACCCGTAAATTGACCACCCGTCATCTACAGACCTAACAAGCCCAATCTAAAGGCAGAGGAGCCACGGCAGATCGGCCACCACCAATCCGGGTCAGATAAGCCACCACCGATACAGGGCTAAGTCAGGGCGTGAGGAGGGCCGGAGGCTAGCAACAATAACTCCCAAGGAGTCGCGTTGCGCCACCTCGCACAAATTCGTCGTCGTCGAGGGTCGAAGCCGAACCAAACAGAAGAGGGAGAGCAAGGTGACCGCATGACAACACCCACGGTGCAAGGCGCGTCGGCGTTGCCGACGAAGTCCTCACCACCGAGTAGCACATCTCAGGAAGGTGACCAATGACGAGAGCTCGAGTTGTTCAAATCTTCAAGAAAAAGCTTGATGGGCACCGCCATCGCTGTCCTTCGTACTAGATTTGCTCGGTTGTGTCACTCGATGGTAACAAGGAAGGAAGGAGGGACAACGTGGCTAAGGGTTTGCTACCAGAGCCGCCGTGGAGGCGACGCGGGAGTTGAAGTGGAAAGTATGGAGTTATGCATGTAAGGTTATGATCTATACGTATCTATACATGTCTTTTTCAATCGGACATGGAGTATTTGCTCTCGAGCTCAAATGCTCCCTGGAGAACAGTAAAATATAAAAAAATCAAAAAAAATTTATGGTAAACTTTGACAAATGTTTTGTATGCTTGCAAGTTTCAGCACGAAATGATATTCGCGGAAGTCATCGCAAAAAAGCAAAATCGATGTTCCAAAAATGCTAGTTTTGAAAACATTTTACAGTGCTGATTTTGTTTTGTTTGTCACGCGTTACACGAATGTCATTTCGTGCTGAAATTTTGTAAGAATACAAAACACTTGTCAAAGTTACCACAAAAAATTAGAATTTTTAAAAAGTTAAATATATTTTTTATTTTACTGTTCATCAAGGAGCATTTGAGCTCGGGTGCAGAATAGGACTTCCGTTTTCAATTCCAAGATTCTAGCGCGGGAGGGTGGCGCGATCTCAGTATAGACTATGGTAATAATTATGTTAGATTATGTACTATCAAAAGTTGCTCGATGTGTTTTTTGTGGTAGTAAAGTTACTCAAAGCTATAAACATTATACTTAACATCATCTTATGCGAGGAAGATATCAAAGTAGTTAGCTAGGAAACATCCACGGCGGAGAAAGATGGGTGATAAAACATATTGTTACGCAAGTGGTATATTTATTAAATTAATTATTTTGTCACGGGTGCAGCAACAGCGCATCACAATCAACCATGACTTGCAACTTACAAGGTCACAAGTTGCATGCTTAGGCTCCCGAATTATTTGTACCAGCATTCATTCAACAGTGTTTGCTGCATGCCCAAGCAGCCGCCCTCTTGAATTAATGGTCATCCATTCACACGTTGAAAGCAATGTATATCCTACTCCCTGTGCACTCAGAAAGTAAGCATTGGCAAGCCCCCTTAAAGAACAAACCTTACACGGTTGTTGAGCTCTTTATATTGGATATGAATCCCTTGTAGTACTCATGGACAAATGCAATGGAAGCAACGTGTACCATTTATTAGGATCACCCTTGCACATCTAAATATCTCAACTGTCAAATCAGCATCCAAAATGTTGAACGAAAAATAACATAGGTCAGGTCAATGGACGTGACTAAGATTTTAGTGGGAGGTTATGTTCCAACCGATAACGAGTTGTATGTGATGATTTCATCGATCTTGAAATTTCACATATAGTACACTTATTACGTGTGTCCTTTAAAAAAAGAAAACTCCAGTCTTCAACATAACAATACATAAGATCAGGTGCTGGGAAGAAAGAGTTATGCCATGATGAGATCCTAACCTGTGGAGTTTTAGCAATGTGGGGAAGATCTGTAACTACTCCCGGTTGAAAAGTGGGCTCTTTTCGTCTTTGATTCACTAGGTTGCACGTATAATATTGGAAATTTTTAAGTAAGGTTTTTTCTTAATCCCTGAACTTGTAAGGATAGTTTGATTCAGTCGCTGTCCTTTTTATATTCAATTATACTTAATTTATTGTAGTTAAATGGAAGCAACTCATTAAGCACTTCCGAGCATATAGAGAAAAAAATAAACATATAGTTTGATCATTCTAGAAATTAGTCAAGCACTGGGCCCCTCCTAATCAAAGATCATACATACATATAGATGCCAAACAAGAACCTTGTTGGATTTAGAAGGAGTATTAGCATAGAATGGGAAGGATGTGAAATCGGTACTCGGCTCACACATGAGGAAAAGAAGCAGTGAAGATAAAACTTCAACGTAACACAATAGTATCAGCTCCGACACAGGAGCTCTAAGAAAATAAACCTTGATTCTATGTGCTTTGGATCCAACTACTCGTCATGGCCTTTGTGAAGAGTAGATTTTCTCTGTTGGTAGAGTTGCACTTCTCCTAGCACCCATCACTGACCATGTAGCATCACCACCTCTGTTGGATTTAGAAGGAGTATTAGCATAGAATGGGAAGGATGTGAAATCGGTACTCAGCTCACACATGAGGAAAAGAAGCAGTGAAGATAAAACTTCAACGTAACACAATAGTATCAGCTCCGACACAGGAGCTCCAAGAAAATAAACCTTGATTCTCTGTGCTTTGGATCCAACTACCCGTCATGGCCTTTGTGAAGAGTAGATTTTCTCTGTTGGTAGAGTTGCACTTCTCCTAGCACCCATCACTGACCATGTAGCATCACCACCTCTGAAACCACCAGGAAATCAAATCTCAACTCCAGAAGGATGCTAAGGTACCAAGGATGCATGGAATAATTATTATGAAAAGTTACATTGTACATTCCACGGAGATTTTGCTGTCAAAACCTATGACACAAAATTAGTTATATGTGCGTGTGTTAGGGTATGCTTGTATGGGTCAAGAACTTTGTATTATTTTGTGATTTGAATACAAGCATACTTCCCCACAAAGAAATAGTACCTCACAAACAAAGTAAGATAAAAATAAAGTTACTCAGGAAAAGGGCATCTAACACAAAATTAGAACCAGGGAAAAAAACTACAAATCTGTACATAACCCAAAAGTCACTCAGGAAAAAGGCCAAAGAAAGATTTCACGTCCACTATAAGAAAAGACAAATGAACTAATTTTTTTTTCTGAAAGTTCATGTTGTTATCAATAAGAAGACCAAATCATGTTGTGGGTAACCAAATTCAACCTCATGCGTTCGGCACTCAGGAGCTATGCATTCCAAAATTACGTTGATGTAGCAGAAATGAATGTATTAACATGGGTTAGTATGATAAATAAGTTGCCTTGCCTAGCAAATATAAACTAAGAACATTACTCATGTGCTTAGCATATATATATTCTTTAAGCTTAACTTCTGAATGTATTAAACTTTAACTACCTCTTCACAAAACAAATACACCGTGTTAAGAAAGTTGTGAAGACCTTGTACCTGCAAGTATATTATCAAATACTAGAAGAAATAATCAAGTTTGTTGGATATCCAAAAAGAAAATGCCAATCAATAGAACAGCAAGTTGCTATGTTATCAAAATAACAAGAATGGGCTTGAAAGTTCAGAGGGGGTGTAAAACAACTTTTTTTCAATGTTTCAGCATTGAAACTGGCAAGGATGAGCTTGCAAGTACAGAGATGAAATACTACTCAAAATTAAAGACGAATGTCCCTTGCAGAAGGAATCCACGATGACTTGAAAAATGAGGAATACACACAAATTTTGTTGTTGATGGTACCAGCATGTTCAGAGTTTGTGACAGCGATGTTGATGGACTGCACATTCGACTCCTCATTGAGATTTCTACAGCACTGAATCTGAATGGTTTGGTCACACAAAAACACATTTTAGCAACATATTTTAGGGGTTGTTTGGATAGGTGGTACATAGAAAACGAATTCTCTATAAACCAGGAACAGAGGCTAATAGAATAAAATCTCGTTTGGATGCTCTAACTAATTTGCGTTTTTGGAATACTTGGTTTTCGGAAACCTCAAATCTGCGTTTATAGAAAAACGACTATTAGTCGTTTTTGTAAAAGCTTGATTTGCATATACTCCACCGCAACTAATCGGCGTCCTCCAACCTGCCACGGCATGGCCGACGCCGCGTCACATCTCCGCTGCCTGATATGATACTCCTCGCGATTCGTCCTCCAGCCTCGGCTATGGCCATGAACGCATCGACATGCCGCTGTGTGGTAGGGATGCTCCTCGAGTAGTCGTGCTCGTCCTCCGGCCACGACATGGCCGTCGCTGCGTTTGCGCCCAGGATTCCGCTAGCTCGCGGCCGGAGCTAGGATGATGTATCGACGCCATCGGTGATGTGCGTCACCTGTGGCATGTCACTGGCTGGTCGGTGTATATAGAGACCAAATACGGGATGGCGGCCAGGAGCGCCCCGACAGCGACGGCACCCTCGGCGAGCTCCTGAAACCGCATGGTCAGCAAGGGCGCGCGCGAGCTCATGCTGGACAAGGACGACTGCACCTCCCTCGAGTCTCTCGACATGTATGGGGTACATGGCACGTAGAACACCGAGACCTGGAGTACTTCAGGCGAGTACCCAACGCCCGCGATGGTCGTATACGTACTTGACTAGTATGAGCAGAAGTGAAGCACGTACTGGCGGCTGCGCGTGGAGTCGTCCAAGGTCAGTCCAAGGGAAGGCGAGTAATGGCGTTGAGGGACCGAGGACCGAAAACAGAGGAGGAATGGATGTTGGAGCTTGCGTACCGTCTCCAATGGCCAAGTCGAGGAAGCAAGAGAGAAAGAGAAAGTCACGGCAAGAGTATTTTATCGAGGGAAGGTCACGGGAGGAGTCAGGACTCAAGAGTAAGCCAAACATATTTTTAAATAAACTGGTTTTACATAAAATAATTTGTAAAACCGATTTTGCTAAACATCAGCTAAAAACACGTTCTGTATAATCCCATGGCTAATCTTTGTTAGCCAAACGACCACTTAGCACAACACTTAAAACTTGTAAAAAGGGTTGTAAGCATGTCATTCAAGAACCAAAAAAACATTGGAATTGGCAACCTAGAAATATGTGTTTATCAAGAATAGACTGTTAGAGCAATTGTGTCTTCTTGATTACTCATTTATATTTGTAGTGAAAGAAGCTTGCGTGAGTAAACTGTAAATAAGACAGAACATTGAAATTGTTCTTTCGATCATTATACACGACAAACGACATGAGTGTACTTGTACCATTCTGATTCTACCTCTATTTGAACTTCATATGCTGCAAGAATACGTCAGTTATTGAAGTATTGGTTTACCTGAGAACAAGCAGATTTGTGATCATACTGCGGCATGGCAGAAATAAAATTAGTTAAGAACGTCGCATTGATTTACCTCGCTGTTGTAACCACAATCGGAAGCGCCCCCAACCACATGAATGCTTTCAAATTGCAGTTTCTTGCTACCCAGCAGCATGCCGTCACCCCAATTCGCCTGAAACAAAAATTCTGCCTCTTTTTTTGCAGTAATTCAAAGAGCTTTATTAAATCAAGGTGTTCCCAAGACAGTCAGCCAACAGGCTAGTCACTAGGAAGCTAGGTGTCTCATCGAGCCAGCACTCAGTCACATTCAGCATGCAAGCATGCTTTGCACACAAATGTGCCGGAACGTTTGCTGATCGATTTACATGAAGTACATCAAATAACGAAAAATCGCTAACTAGCTTTCCAATTTCTAGTAAGATAGGGGCCACAATTGAACGAGAATTGTGACGATTACTCCACAATTGCACCATCTCTAGGCAATCCATCTCCATGATGACATGCGCGAGTCACGCATTGCCAAAGCTTCTGCGAAGAGTGGGTCAGAAATACCCACATGTGGTTTACACCAAGCTCCCAGGAATGCAGTGCTCGAGCACGCGACACCACCCGCACCACTGCAATTTTGAGCGAAGTTGATTGCCCCATCCGTCGTGATCTTAACAGTACCCGCATCCAGAGGCCTCCATCCATAACCTGGGAGTATTTTGGTATTACTCCGTGGCAATTCCAGCAATGCAAGCGACTCCTTGATGGAGCGCAAGGAAGTAGCAGGATCCAGGCCCTTTTGGTCATGTTTTAACCTGTTGCGTGAGTGCCAAATAGTCGACATGATGATGATAATTTTAGCTCGGTCCATCTCTGCCATCATAGGATCACATAAAATGCCCCTCGCCCAAGAGCTAGAGTGTAGTCTGGGCAATCGTATATCAAACCAAGCATATGCTTCTTCCCAAAAACTCTGCCTCTCAAAAGTGTAACCAGAGATCACACAACTGAAAATACACACACACACACACACACAACATCCTAGAATCACCAGCAAGCACATGGATCCAACCCAGGGGATGGGGTGGAAAAGGACCTCGAGCGGGGATGCCACCAGGGACGAACGTGTTAGAAACGAACTAGAGGAGCGCATAAGGGAGGTTTCGGATGCGGCATGCACCCTGAGAAGCAGCGGCGACGGCTCCCCGCGTCCTCGCCGGATGAGGTGGCTCACACATCTCCGACACACGAGCGATGGGATCAGGAGAATTTTTTTCGAGCGGGATCAGGAGAGCGATGGGATCGGGAGCAAGGAGGTTAGGGTGAGAGCCGTGGCCTCTGAACGGTGGAGATGTTCTAGATCTCCGTCTTTCGTGCTTAGTACTCTGGAAGAAGAGGCCTGCTGTAGCCGGCAAAGGTTCGCGGAGAGAGCAGCCTCGCCGGGAAATCTGGTGCAGCGCCTGTTTTAAAGACGGCACCAACACGAGACGTGGATTTAGATCGAGGTATGAGAGATTACATTTCTCCTCCCGAGTACAACTTTCATGCAGAACAGGGCCCGTCATTAACTTCGGCTTGCAAGTAGAAATTTTAAGTGTACCATATTAAGTTTCAGAGGATTCACAAAGAAACCGGTTCAGCTCTCAACCGGAGTATGTTTTCAGAATACCGGAAACATCACCGTTGGCGTTAGAACTGACTTCCATTAAATCAGAAAACTGATGCATGCATTTTTTTTTCAGCAACTACTTTCTTTCTCCCTGCTATAATAATCTCACTCAGAGATAGAAAGGAATTTTGTTTTGAACAGATTGATGAACTTATCAGTGTTGAGAGTAAAAATCTGAATTCAGGATGACTCTAGCTCTAATTTCAGTTTAAAAGACTGAAATTGCTGCCGTTATATGAGGAATGTTACGATAGGCCAATCACTAACATCACATTCACGCAAGGAGTAAAATCCAACTTTATCACAAGAACTCACAAGCATAAGATTCTCCCTGGCGGGCAGATAATTTAAAAGCTCAGACAATAACCATTGTACCATGATAGCATGCGATCTACTTCAACAAAGTCTTGCATAACAAACACAGGGTGGGTATCATAATTCAAAACTGTAGCCAAATTCTACTACCAAACACGATTGCATAGAGGGGACTTCAACTGATCAGAATTCAGCAGGAACAGTTCCGGCAACCTGGTCCAGATCACGCCTTCCCTGGGAGGTGATGAGCCTTCCACTGCAGCACAAAGTCAAGACACAGGATAAGCAACCTACAACCAAATAGAATTGAAGACGGTACCACCACAGGAACACAGGGAAGCCACAAGATTACCCCTTGGGGTCGACATCAATGATGCCCATCTTCTGCAACTCCTGGAGGATGTTGCGGGAAACAGCACCGCTGCTCTTGCAGAAGTGCGGTGGGCGTGAACCGTTCCTCTGACGGCCACCGTAGATCTTCTGGAAGCCGCCGATCCCGATTCCCTGCCTCAGGTAGATCTTCCTTGCCATGGAGGCTGTCATGATTTGAAATGGCAGATAAAAATCAGAGAGTGGCAAGGACATCAATACTACATGTGAATAAATCGAGTATGCAACCAGGAAGGCAGAAAACATGTACTCACCAGCCCTGATGTAGTACCAGTCAGCATCAGAAGGTGGCAGCTCCTTGAACCTTGCAGTCTTGACAATGTCAACCCACTCTGGAAGCTCCATCTGCATAACCATATATTACAATTTCAGTGCTCAGAATACAAGCAGGCAATGCAAGAAGGTAACATGAACTAGCAATAACTGATGTGCCATTCTTATAAATCATCTAGGAAGTGAGTATCCGTAGAGCATTGCAAGTTGAATCAAATCAATATTGTGGTGTGTGCATCTGTACCGGCATTGTATGTAGTAACACAAATCACTAATGTGAGTACACTCTATAACAAAGTATTGCTAATTGCATGACAAGAAATTTCCAACGCTCCCTAAACAAACATATTTAGGATACCAAAGAAAGTTGAACCGTCTAGACCACACTCAAGTAAATAACATCAGATAAGTCACACTAGCTAAGAGGTGAACGCTAAATAACATTCACATATGGGAGTGGACAGGCAACAACCATAATACCATATCTTGAGTACAAAGGAAATCCACCAGCTGCAATAACGAAACCAACATATTAATGTCCTCGTCGGATCACTCGATCTTGGATACTAGCGCGGCATATGAAATCGAGGTAGACTGCGGAAACGAATCGTGATCCACGAAAATTAAAATAGCTACAACTAGCCCTACGATGCAAGAAATTTCCACCGAGGCGGGCGTCGTGCACCTAACGAAGCAGGACTATTCAGGATTCATTTGGAAACAAACGATTGTACGCTGGACCGCATATGACATAGCGAGGCATGGCGGTAAGATCCTGACAAGAGGAGGCCTCCCGCTACAAATCCCCAAAAGGAAGCTACCCTAGCGACGGATCTAACGAGAACTGAATTGCGTTACCTTGCCGGAGCGCTTGAGGTGCGCGGAGTAGGCCTTGACGAACTCGTGGGGGTTGACATCCTTCACGGTGCGCGCCGTGGAGGCCGCGGTCTCGGCTGCGGGAGCGGGGACGGTCGCCATCCTGTGCTCTGGCCGGCGGCGGCGCTGTCTTCAGGAAGGAGGGAGAGGTGTGCGCGCCGCTGCGGCTGCGAGGGCTAGGGTTTTTCTGGAGGCGGGGTGCGTGAGAGCAGGCGGACGGGAATTTATACTGCAGAGGAGCTAGGTTATGGGCCGTGTGATGGAATGGTGGGCTAGCTGGGCCATCAGGGTATTAGGGTTAGTGATGCTACGTGGGCCAAGCTGAGGTCGCCTCGAGATATAACACTAGAATTTTCATGATTTGTCTCAAAAAAAAACTAGAATTTTCATGATTGTCTCAAAAAAAATTAGAATTTTCATGATTGCTCTAGAAGGGTATAAACTGTCCCCCAAAAACTACCTCGAGAAAATGTTGCATATTTTTTTTGAACACAGTACGGACGCAAGCGATCATACAAACGCGCATACACTCACCCCTATGAATGCACACACGCACACTCTACCCCTATGAGCACCTCCGAGAGAAAATGTTGCATATTTTAGAGGTAAATTACATAGCATATGATTCCTATGAATAAATTGTCAACGGATACGCTTAAGCAGTTTCATTAAAGCACTTTTATTTGTAGAATTATATTCAACAAAGCCCATTGCCTTTCACTCTCTCTTCTTTTTTTTGCAAATGTCCAGACTAAAATGAACTACTAATCATCAAGACACTTCTTTGTCTCAAAAAAAATCTGAACAAATTGCTTTAGCATACTTTTTTTCTTAGAAAAAAAGGTGTTCCGGTGTCCTTGTTTGTCAAATATATTATCAAATTGTCACTGCCTCCTCTCTAAGAAAAAGGCTTTGGGTTTCTCCACCTCCCGACGTCGCTGTCGGACCGTCTCGTCTCCGGTGGCTTTAGGGCCATGGAGGCGTGGTGAATTTTATTTTTTTGAGAGTACGCCAAAGGTGTATCATATTTTTATAAAAAGGCAGAAGACAATTACAAGAGACTATCACTCGTTGCAAACAACAAGTGTAGTACAAACTCCACACCGAGCTAATCCAAAGATAAGTCACCGCACACATTAAACACAACGCAAAGGAACTTGCCCTGAATAGAACAACAAAGTCGCATCTCGACCAACACCGGTTACCTCAAAGAGGAACAACTACCATCAGACTCCCCTTGCTGACGCACCAACCACCCTTGAATGCCGAAAAGGAGATGGCGAGTGGGTGGCGGGACTCGGTCGGTCCTGAAATAGCCATCGTCTTGAACTCACCGACGCCGACGTGCATAGCGCCGAAGAAGATCTACTCGAACCAGTGACGAGCACCGGAGAACCACAACATAGAGCCCCCATGCCAAGTCTCCACACATGATGCTCTCAACAGAGGAACGGCGTCAAGACGCCACCATCGCCGGTCTGGGAATGAACCAAGGCTTATATAATGGACAAGACCCATCTGTTAGCTTAGCATAATGGTCGTTTAATTTTATTGCTATTGCTTTCTTCATGTCAAATACATATTCCTTCGACTATGAGATTATGCAACTTCCGGATACCGGAGGAATACCGTGTGTTCTACCAAACGTCACAACTTAACTGGGCGATCATAAAGATGCTCTACATGTATCTTCGAAGGTGTTTGTTGAGTTGGCATAGATCGAGATTAGGATTTGTCACTTCGAGTATCGGAGAGGTATCTCTGCGCCCTCTCGGTAATACATGATACGTCTCCAACGTATCTATAATTTTTGATTGTTCCATGTTGTTATATTATCATTCTTGGATGTTTTACAATCATTTTATAGCAACTTTATATCTTTTTTGGGACTAACCTATTGACATAGTGCCCAGTGTCAGTTGTTGTTTTTTGCTTGTTTTTTACTTCATAGAAAATCAATACCAAACAGAGTCCAAACGAAACGAAACTTTTTGGAGATTTTTTTCTGGACTAGAAGACATATGTTGGGCCAAAGAAGTACCAGAGGGGGGCTCTGAGGAGAGCACAACCCACCAGGGCATGCCTGGGGGCCCAGACGCGCCCAGGTGGGTTGTGCCCACCTCGGTGGCCTCCCGCACCGCCTTTTTGCTCTATAAATACCCCAATATTCCAGAAGCCATAGGGGAGTCGACGAAAATCAATTCCAGTCGCCGCAAGTTCTAGAAACCACAGATCCAATCTAGACACTATCACGGAGAGGTTCGTCATCCTCATTGGTGCCTCTCCGATGATGCGTGCCTAGTCCATTGTAGACCTATGAGTCAGTAGTTAGTAGCTAGATGGCTTCCTCTCTCTCTTTTGATTCTCAATACAATGGTCTCTTGGAGATCTATTTGATGTAACTCTTTTTGCGTGTGTTTGTTAGGATCCGATGAACTTTGAGTTTATGATCAGATCTATTTTATCCATGAAAGTTATTTCAGTTTTGATCTCTTATATGCATGATTACTTATAGCCTCGTATTTATTCTTCGAATATTTGGTTTAGTTAGGCCGACTAGATCGATTTTTGCCATGAGAAGAGGTGCTTTATGATGGGTTCGATCTTACGGTGCTCGATCCCAGTGACAGAAGGGGAAACGACACGTATGTATCGTTGCTATTACGGATAACAAGATGAGGTATATTTCTACATAAATAGATCTTGTCTACATCATGTCATCATTCTTATTGCATTACTCCGTTTCTCCATGAACTTAATACACTAGATGCATATTGGATAGCGGTCGATGTGTGGAGTAATAGTAGTAGATGCAGGCAGGAGTCCGTCTACTAATCTTGGACGTGATGCCTATATAATGATCATTGCCTAGATATTGTCATGATTATTTGAAGTTCTATTAATTTCCCAACAGTAATTTGTTTACCCACCGCATGCTATTTTTCTCGAGAGAAGCCAATAGTGAAATCTACGGCCCCCGGGTCTCTTCTTTATTATATTTGCTTTCGAGATCTATTTTTATTCGCTTTTATTTTTAGATCTATATTTCCAAAAAAACCAAAAATACCTTGCTGCACTTTATTTCATTTTGCATTTATTAGAGATCTATTTATCCAATCTATCATATTTTTATCCCGTCAACTTGACAATTTCTGTCACCGTTATCCGAAAGGGATTGACAATCCCTTTAACACGTCGGGTTGCAAGTATTTGTTCTTTGTGTGCAGGTACTATTTACGTAGTGTTGCGTGTTTCTCCTACTGGTTCGATAACCTTGGTCTCATCACTGAGGGAAATATCTATCGTCGTTGTGCCGCACCATCCCTTCCTCTTTGGGGAAATACCGACGTAGCTCAAGCCGCAATCAGTACACATCATAAGCTTGCAAGCAAATGACTAAGGAGTTAGTCACAAGGTGATGTATTACGGAACGAGTAAAGAGACTTGCCGGTAACGAGATTGAACTAGGTATAGAGATACTGATCGAATCTCGGGCAAGTAACCTACCGATAGATAAAGGGAATTACGTATGTTGTCATAACGGTTCGACCGATAAAGATCTTCGTAGAATATGTAGGAGCCAATATGGGCATCCAGTTTCCTCTATTGGTTATTGACCAGAGAGGTGTCTCAGTCATGTATACATAGTTCTCGAACCCGTAGGGTCCGCACGCTTAATGTTCATTGACGATATGGTGTTATATGAGTTATGTGATTTGGTGACCAAATGTTGTTCGGAGTCCTGGATGAGATCACGGACATGAAGAGGAGTCTTGAAATGGTCGAGAGGTAAAGATTGATGTATAGGACGATGGTATTCGGACATAGGCAGTGTTTTGAAGGGTACCTGGTACTTATCGGGTCACCGGAAAGGAGTTTTGGGCACCCCCCCGGCAAAGATATGGCCTTATGGGCCAAGAAAGTGGGGTTGGTGCACCCCTATAGAGGCCGGCCCTATGGGAGGAGAAGAAAAGAGGGGAGGGAAAGGAAAGTGTGGAGTAGGACTCCCCCTTCCTTCCCTCTCCCCCCTCTTTCCTTCCCCCTTCTTCATACAAGGAAAGGGTGGCGCGGGAGGGCAGGAGCCCTAGGGCCGGCGGCCAGCCCCTTGGGGGGCGCCCTAGGCTGCTTCCTCCCCCCTCCCACCTATATATATGTGGAGAGGGGGCGCCACACAAGGACGCTGATGACCCACAAGTATAGGGGATCTATCGTAGTCCTTTTGATAAGTAGGAGTGTCGAACCCAACGAGGAGCAGAAGAAAATGACAAGCGGTTTTCAGCAAGGTATTCTTTGCAAGCACTGAAATTACCGGTAAGAGATAGTTGTATGATAAGATAATTCGTAACAGATAACAAGTAACAAAAGTAAATATGGTGCAGCAAGGTGGCCGACCCAATCTTTTTTGTAGCAAAGGACAATCCTGGATGAACTCTTATATAAAGCAAAGCGCTCCCAAGGACACATGGGAATTATTGTCATGCTAGTTTTCATCATGCTCGTATGATTCGTGTTTGTTACTTTGATAATTTGATATGTGGGTGGACCGGTGCTTGGGTGCTATCCTTCCTTGGACAAGCCTCCCACTTATGACTAACCCCTCTCGCAAGCATCCGCAACTACAAAAAAAGAATTAAGATAAATCTAACCATAGCATGAAACATATGGATCCAAATCAGCCCCTTACGAAGCAACACATAAACTATGGTTTAAGCTTCTGTCACTCTAGCAACCCATCATCTACTTATTACTTCCCAATGCCTTCCCCTAGGCCCAAATCATGGTGAAGTGTCACGTAGTTGACATTCAGATAACACCACTAGAGGAAAGACAACATACATCTCATCAAAATATCGAACGAATACCAAATTCACATGATTACTTATAACAAGACTTCTCCCATGTTCTCAGGAACAAACGTAACTACTCACAAAGCATATTCATGTTCATAATCAAAGGAGTATTAATTAACATTAAGGATCTGAAAATATGATCATCCACCAAATAAACCAACTAGCATCAACTACAAGGAGTAATCAACACTACTAGCAACCCACAGGTACCAATCTGAGGTTTTGAGACAAATATCGGATACAAGAGATGAA